TCAGTCTTCAATTCCTCCATTCGATTCTATTCTAAGTTCTTCTACAAATCTGTACGGCTTATATGTGCTACAATCAGACAGTGTTTGGGTTTTACCTGGGGTATTAAAATTTACCCCACACCAATTTGCAGCCAATCCTTTCCTTTTCCTGGGAATGGTTGGTTTTGTCTGGTTTTGTGGCATCCCGTGAGGGATGTGCCCCTGGCTGATGGTACCACATATAGCTCTCCAATATAAAATTATATCTACAAATACTTTCTTGAAACATCTGTTTTACCATTATTCGTGATTCATGCTATTTGCCAGGCTGGGCATGGTTGGACGCGTGAACTACGGCGACTCCCGATCCTGGCCGATCTTCGTTCCAGGCTCGACCACCCATACCTAGCCTTGGCCTTCCCTAATCCACTTGTAATGTTTAAAGTTAAGCTAAATATTAAATTTCCTATATTTTAAATGTCATCTTAAATTTCAGCATAGCGCCTCGTAACATTATTATTAACAGTTAACTAGGCGGGAGTTACTGTAGCTTTTGTAGTAATTCTTTGATATTCGAGGCTTTTTGTTATTCCAAAACATTCATCTGTGTAAAAGCATATATTATGACATTAGTTTAGGTCACAAAGGTTGGTGTATCGAGCCAAATAGTTCATTTTCCTTGGCGAGATATAAAAAGATACTTCGTAGCTGAGTGAAGCCGTAACGTGGCTGTTTGATTTTGATTTGCATAGCCTAAATTTTCCAATTTGATGAGGGATTCTGTCTTTTCTGGATAACGCAGGAGTATGCGTTGAAGATTGAAGCGATCATGGTTTTATAGAACTGGATAACCTTTTTGTTGAGATCGCTGTGACGGCGCCAACTATTACCGACACTTTGTAAACTGTCTGATTTTGATACTGTGGTATACTTGACCTTTAAATTATTATAAGTAATAGCATGGATCTGATTGAAAAAATTGGAGCATGCAAAAAAAATTTAAAATTTGCTAAGGTATATTTATTCAAGTCTAACTTCAATTTTTTCCTCGGAAATCGTGCTATTACTATTAAATGTCCCCGAAACCGAGGGCAGATAAGTTTTTTTTGCATACTCCAATGTTTTCAATCAGAAGTAGTAATATAAACATTGCAACAAACATGCATGAATTGGAATATAACATGAAAAGAATTGATATGCACTGTTCTAAGAGTATCAATTACTTTATTGTGTCATTGAAAAGGTTTTCACAGAACAACAGTACAAAATGATATTGGTCATCCGACCATTGTTACTGATTTCCCACAACGAACTTTTTTTTTAACATTTTTATTTCAAAAGACAAGAGATTTTTTTTACAATCATTACTTTTCACATATACAACTATACAACACACAAAAATTAATTACAACTACGTACAATAAAGGAAATACAAAACGATGCTGCACCTATCATATCTATATTTTATATATTTGCGCAGAGTAAAAGAGAATTTATTTTTTTTTTAACCTTTTTGGATGGCAATCTTGCTGTAAATAAGAAATTATATTTTCATATTTTTTCAAATGGAGAGCCAGCCTTCCTGTCCTTTTGGCAATATTATATTCTATCTTTTCATTTTGTCTTATCGCCGATTGGAATTCATTTACCTGAGGTATTTTCTTCTTTTTCCTTGCTAGAAAAAGAGTCATTTTGAAGACAATGAACAAATAATTTATGAAAATATTTCCAAGCAGTATATTTACAATATTCAAATTTGGCAAGCCCAGATCCACAGATCTCAGCCAATTGTTACAACTAAAATGCACTCTGTAAAAAAATGATCGACAGTTTCTTCTTCTTTGTGACAAAAACTACACATCGGGGAATCCACTTTATTAAACAAAAAAAGCTTTTTATTTAAATATAGACAGTTATTTAGGATCTTATATTGAAAAGCTCTTAATTTGACCTCGTTTGTTGTTTTATAAATTCTTCGATAAACTGTCGTCCACTCAATGTCCTGGCAATCCGTTTTTTTTAAGAAAGTATGTTTGAAATGATGGTTTTTTAAATTGTTTTTGAATAATTTTGTTATAAATGTCTTTCGCTTTTACTTTGTCTAGAGTGATTTTTTTTTGCAATTTCTATTTTGGGAAATTCAACCTTAATGGCTATTTTAGGACCTTTTTTAGTTGCTGTTTCCATTGTAATGGAATAGCGCTTATCAGTCCCCTCCAAGTCAAATAGTCTTTTTCTTCCCATCCCGCCAATTTTGCTTCTTCCCAGTTAGGACTTTCTTTTCCTTTCTATAAATCCAGTACCAAATTAAATCCTTTAGCACGATATTTCTTTACTTTACAGAGATTAGTCTTATATTTGATACAGACATTACTCCATAAAGGCTGCCTTAGTATTTCATCAGCATTCATTACTGGTTCATTACTAATAGCACTCTATGCCTCCACAACTTCAAAATAGAATTTTGGGAGTCCTAAAAGTTCTTTATTATATATGCATTTATCAAAATTTGCACCCAAAATATCTACTCCTCCGAAATCTTTAAAATGTTTGTCTGCAAAAACTTTCCAATAACTTGATTTAGTGGT